ACTTTTATAAGAGCAATAGATAAATATGATTTAACACAAACAAAAAATTTATATAGGACGCCTGTTTTAAAAAATGGGCATCGTATATTTTTAAAATTACTACACCTTAATCTGCTACACGAAAAAACTGACATTAAAAGAGTAAAAAAAATAAAAAATAAAATAAAATAAAATAAAAAAATAAAATAAAATAAAATAAAATAAAATAAAATAAACACACACACACACATCAACATCATTTGTCTTTTTTCTGTTAGTGGTCCTTCACATGAAAAATTAATAAATTTTGTGATCTTTAATAACTATTGATTCCAAAACTTGACTAGATTATTTTCACCTTGCAAAGTGTCGCAACTGGTTTCCCCTAATGGTTTAGAGTTTAAAAAAAAAAAAGTTGATTTTATAATTATTACAAATTTTTAAATTTATCATATTTATAAAACTGACATGCTCATTTTTCTCTTATTTTTCAATAACCCTCAACTATTCATTTACTCAAATTGATAGATCTAATTAGTCCATACTTTTTTTCTAGGAGCTTATTCTTACTTCAATCATCCTTTTATATATTTATTTTATTTTTATCAAGAAAGAGGAATTGACCCAGAAGCCTAAGAGGGCATGACTCTACCCGATATATATGTCATATATTTATAATGTCATGCCATGTAAATTTGTCAAATAAAAATATATTTAGATAGAAGAGAAAAGGTAAAATAATGGATATAGTTAATTAGGTGAAATGATTGTAGTTTTCAAGATTGATCTGCCGTTGTGGCCACTTTAGAATTTAGATGTACTTATTCAAAATAAATAAATAGGAAATATATGAAGTTAGTAAATATCATCTAATCATTGTCATGGGAAGATAATCTCTTTTATGCGAAAGGAGGTCCAATTTTCTAGTATTCTCTCCTCCTTTTTTGACGGCGTTACGTTGATCTCCTCCCCATCCAACATTCCACCCCTCTCATTATTTTTATTTTACAAAAAAACAAAAAAACAAAAAACAAAAAAAACTATACGGCCTCATCAAAATTTTATATTACCACTAGCTACGGATATTCACGTTATGAGAATTATTGCATTCAATAATTAATAAAAAAATTTACTTTTAATCTTTGACTATTGTGTATTGTTACATATAATTTTATATGATTAATTTTATTTAGAAAAAGAGTTAAATATACCCTTAAATTTTACACCCAAAGTCAATTAGGCACTTAAACTTTTAAAATGTGCAATTAAACCTTCAAACATATCAAATTGAGACAATTAGATTCAAAAACATATAAATGACTTATAATAACAGGTCACTTTTAGATCCGGCGAAATTCAGGTAAAACTCTGGCATCGCCGGTCACCCCCTCCGGCGGAAGGCGACCAGTTAGTTCAAATTATTTGAAAATTATTAAAAATGTCAACTCAACTGTCACGTAATAAGCAGATAATCTGCTAAAATTGATAGTAACTTGCTATCTGGTGAAATTGCATATATTTAAAGTGTTCAGTAGTTTAATTGCATTTTATTCATTCAGTGGTCTAATTGCATTTTCAGGTTACGTTCAGATGCAATTTGAACCTTATTCCTAGAAAATAATGTAGTAGTGGGAAGTGTAGCGGGCACAGGGCAGAATGGCAGTGGAGTCTGTTGATAGGTGAGAAAGCTAGGCACCCATTATTCTAATCCCTAGTTGGCTATTTTTCAATTTGAAAGCTGATCTGAGCAATTTGTTCGAATATATTAAAAAGAAGCATCTCGAGCAATTATATCAGCGTGTGTTGGGAACTTGGAAGTATCGAACAAAAAGAGGAAAACCTTTTAAGCCCATTGATTTTTGGTAACTATTGTGATTAATTTAATATATGATATAATCTAATTCTCTTGTGGGGCAAATTGGGTTTATCAGTATAATATAAAATTGGGAAAATTTTATTATTTTGAAAAAATCTTATATTTATTCTTTTAAGAGTACGTTTGGAAATATAAAATATGTTTTTTGAAATATAATTTTTAAAAAATGATTCATTTTTTTAAAAAATATTTTGTTAGGATCGATGCGAATTCACAACACCTAATTATAATAGCAACTTGAGCTTGAAATATTAAAAATATTTCTAGTGTAAGATTTAGAATAAATAATACACACAATAAGACAATTTTGAAAAAAAAAAAATTGTATTGGCAAAATGATATCACGATAGCAGTTACAAGCATAACACTCTATCTCTCTAAGTTGCTATGCTATGCTTTTCTATCTCATATTGGGATAGATAATTTACAATTAAGATGGATTGCCTATTTATAGTAAATCCAAATGAATATTAGTTATAGATTTGAGAGCCTAGAGATTTGCAATTCTTAGTGCAAACCTAACTTATTTAACGCAAAGTGCAACCTACTCCTTACACAAATCTTTAATGCAACTTTAGCTCAAACCTTAGCTCAAATTTAAAACATCTTGCTACTTTTCACATTTGACTTTATTCTTCACAAATCTCCCACATAAAGTCACAATGTGGATCTTCATCCTTTTTGTCAATTCCCTGCTTGCATATTTGTCAATTGAGGATCTACACCATACAAATTTATCATTCGTAAAGCTTTGTTAACATATCTGACAAGTTGTCTTTAGAATGAATTTTCTGTACATCCACACTTCCTTCTTCTACATTTTCACAAACAAAGTGATATTGAACTCGTATGTGTTTCGTCTTGGAGTGAAATGCCGGATTCTTTGTCAAGTACAAAGCACTCTGACTATCACAAGATAAAGTCATTTTCTCTAACTTGTGTCCGAGCTTTTCAAATAGAATTTGCAACCATATTGCATCTTTACTAGCTTGAGTAGCAGTTATGTATTCTGCTTGTGTCGTTGAAGTTGCCACAACAGACTGCAACTTCGAGACCCAGCTTACTGTTCCGCTAGTAAGAGTAAACACATAACCCATGGTGGGTTTACTACAATCAAGATTACCTCATAATCTGAATCAATATAGCCTTTAATGATGAAGTCGATATGATCCTCCATAACACAATGTTGAGGTACCCTTGATATATCTAAGGATCACAGCACTCCAATGCTCTTTACCAGGATTTTAGATCAAGTTTTGATGTTTCTTGAGTGTTGTATATCACATATGCCGGACTTCCAAATGTATGTAAGTGAGACTAGCTAAAATTACCTAAAGGGTATACATATATTTCATAATAATAATAATAATAATAATAATAATAATAATAATAATAATAATAATAATAATAATAATAATAATTTTTCTCAAAAAAAATACTGATAACAAAAAGAGTTAATTTCACTTTTGGTCCTATGATTATTGGGGTGTTGTCTATTTGAGTCCACAGCTTTCAAAACTAACAATTTAGTACCATAACTATTCAATTTTTATCAATTTTAGTCAGTATGGCCAAATTGTCGGTACTTAATTATTAATTTTGAAGGTGGTGGATTCAAATTGACAACACTCCAATAGTCGTAGGATCAAAAGTGAAATTAACTCTAATAAAAATTTGCTACTGAAATCATACGGGAATAATTCATTGAGCCAAATTTCACCCATTCCGCATCTCATTTTATTTTATTAAGATAAGAGTTAATCAACGATTTGATCCCCTAATTATTAGCGAACTGTCAATGTAGTCCCTTAATTGCTTATTCATCAATTTAGTCCCCAAAAATAATTATTTTTAGTCAATTTAGTCCCTCCGGCCGTAGTCCGTCAACCCGCCCACGAGAGATACGATTAACCATGGGCATTTTGGTCTTTCAGCCCTCTTCTTACCTGACTAGCCTCCGATTAATCAGCCAGTGGCCTTGTCTTACTTACAGAGATTGGGGCTGGAACAAGAAATGGCGTATTCTATGTTCAAAACACAATCGGATCGCCGATTTCAAAATTCAACCCGCGATGACTCGAAGAAAGCGGCTCCCGGGAACTGATTTTCGGCGCGTTGAAAGACAAGGCGTCTCTGATCAAGGCCTCGTTCATGACAAACCGCGTCGTTTCATCGGTCCGCGTCGCAGTCATACCCGCCACCACCCACGCCTCTGCATCTCCGCCGCGGTGGTCAGTGAAGGGATTGCGCAGGCTCACGATGATGCTCTCAATCCTGTCAATTCCTCTTCTCAGTCAATTGGTCTAAACAATGCCCTTTAAATTGGAAAGATTGGTCTTCAACCGCATCATCAACCTTCCTCCTATCATCCGCCACATAGTAATAGATTAGCCGACCACCGTGCAATGAAGCGAACGATTCACTCAGTGATCTGATCAAAGACGACGACGAAAGACGAAAATCGGTTAAATCATCGTCGTCGTTGTCCTCCGATCGTGGCACCTTCTTAGGCAAGTCAGGCAGAGTCTCAACGCAATCAACTTCCCATAGAATCCAGTTTTGATGGCGATGAGGAATGTCGTGGGTGATTGAATTTCTCCAACGCAATCAACTCCCTTTCGTCCCTATTTGATGGGCTCTCATTCCAGTTTTTGAACCCAATTTCTTAGGCGTTGTTTGGCGAACTCGTCTCCCCGTGACGCCCAGGAGGAATTGCTCGTCCATGGTGGTGAGGTATTTTCTGTAGCAACTCTTTAGGCGTATCACATTGTCAATCTTTCTACGAATTCCACTGTCCATTTCGCCGCTCTTTGAATTCTTCAATGCCGTTGATTTTGGTCAAATTTGAACTCCATGGTGATAGAGATTTTTGTCGATTTGGGACTCCACAGTTTGGCTATGCTTTCTCAAGTAAGAAGGGGGCTGAATGAAGAAAAAGACCAAAATGCCCATGGTTAATCGGAGTTCTCGCCGGCTGGTTGACGGACTACGGCCGAAGGGACTAAATCAACTAAAAACAATTATTTTCGGGGACTAAATTGATGAATAAGCAATTGAGGGACTATATTGACAGTTCGCTAATAATTGAGGGACCAAATCGTTGATTAACTCTTAAGATAATAACAATAATAAAATACTCCGTATATTTTTGCACGCATATATATATATATTTTATTTAACAATTCTCAGCATTTCCAACAAAATTTTGAAGGAAAACGAAGAAATATTACAACAATTACTACTCCGATCTATTTTTGGGAACTCTCAATACCTAATTCCAAGCCAAAACTCAATAAAAAATATAAAAATAAAATTACGGAGCACATTACAAAGGCCTCAATCTGATCTGAACTCCATACTTGGGCTTGATGGTGAGGACGATGACCGGCGCGTGGCGATAACTCTCGGAGATGTCAAAGCTGAACTTGGATATTAGCATGGCCAAGATGATCTTGGCTTCCATGAGAGCAAAAGACTGGCCGACACAGTTCCGGGGGCCGGCGGCGAACGGCAGGAAATTCCGGGCGGGGCCGGCGAAGGACTTTGATGCAAATCGCTCAGGGTTGAACTCGTTCACGTCTTTTCCCCATATCTCTTCACTGTGATGGATGGCTAGCACTGGCACCCATATGGAAAGCCCCTTTGGGATGTGAAGATCGCCAAGCTTGAAATCCTCAAACGCCATTCTTGGAAGAACAGAAGCTGGTGGGTATAGTCTTAATGATTCATTAATCACCATGTTCAACTGCACAAATAATATTGGTAGGTATTATTAGTTCTATATAACCCCGGGCATAATTCAGTAATCCAAAGGTTGAGTGTGGTGTAGCGACCCCGCAAATACTAGGATTCGAATCTGGTTAAGTGGTCGAGTCGGCCGCCTAAGCGTTGCCTAGGTCATTTAGGCGCTGACGCACTGATCGCCTAGGCCTCCTACCACCGACTAGGTCCGACCTAGTCAGCCGATTAGCTATTGTTCCCTTGTTTTTAAAATGGATTATTTAACTCAAAACGACATCGTTTTGAACGAAATAACCCTAAATTATTCAAATTCTAAATGTTTTTCAAGTTAATATTTAATGTTTTAGTATTAAGTATTAAATAGTTTATAGTCGTTATCAAGTCTTGAAAAATTAAAATATCTTAAACAAATTTTTAAAGAATAAAAAATAAAATAAAAAATACACGACCGCCTAGGCGCTGATTAATTGCCACCTAAGTGTCCTAGGCAGCGCCTAGCTTTCAACCATGTATAAAACACTATAAAAATGAAGGGATGTTTTTATATTATACAAGTACGTAGTGGGTGAATTATATATTTGTTTAAATTAGATAAAAGTCAACTATACTTATTACTGAGTACATTTTTAATAGAAGAGTTAAATTAAATGAAATTTAATAAATTATTGAAATTTGAAAATAAAAATGCTTTTTAAAAAAAGGGGATAGTACAGGAGACAAAATGATACTTTTGCATAGCTTGCACAGTATCGGACCATCAGACAGCAAACATTGCCAACGAAGGAGGGCAGGGGATTCCACAATTATTACATTAAAATTAAACAAATTGTTTTTTTTTTTGGGTCTAATTTTCAGTGAATGGACTATAATGCAATCACCATTTTGTTACCAATTACAATATTACTTGATTAATGAGCAGTTGCCTATTGCCAGCAAAGAGGGAATATGATCTCAATGATGGAATTTATTGATTATAAATAGTAATATTATATTCTATTGTTTCTTTTAATGTTTTGGTTGAAAGTGTGACACATTTTATTCAATTTCCCTCATGCCCAATGAATTAAAGATAAAGAGAATAAAGTTTAAAAAAAAAAAAAAAAAAACACCAAAATATTCGCAAGCGCTTTTTGATCACTTATCTCATCTTACTCTGATCTATCTTTATACTCAATAAATTAGTCAAGTAAATATAACGTTAAAAATGTAAATAGTTATATAAATTCATACCAGATTGAGCTTGGAGAGGTGCTCGACTGAGGGGGTGTCAGTGTTACAAACTTGTCTAACTTCGGACCGAACTTTGTCCTGCCAAGATGGGTTGCTAGCAAGGAGCATTATGGTCCATGTGAGTAACAAAGCAGTAGTTTCATGGCCAGCGAAGAAGAATGTCTTGCATTCATCCATTATCAATTGTAAATTTAAGCTAAACCCGATATTCTTTGATCTCTTTTTTTTCATCTCCGTCAACAACGTCCCTAACAGATCGTTGCCATACGAGCTACTCCGACCGATTTCAACACAATCTTTACGGCTTTGTATAATCTCCATTAGTAGCCTCTCCACCTCCATTTTTAACGATTTTATGTCTCTATTATATTTACTAGGAAAAAATCTGTCCAAAGAATTAAAAATAATAATAATTAGCATGTAAAATCTAAATATTTATTTTTTAATTAAAAAAAAGTACAACAGCTAATATTCATTTTAATTAATATTTATCTATTAGAGTAAAATTTCTTTATAATCTTCTTAATAAAGATACTATAAAAGACACTTTTGTTAAAAAAAAAAAAAAAAAAAAAAAAAAAAAAAAAAAAGAAAAAGGCATGGAATCTATAAAAGGGGAAAGAGGGATCAGAAGTAATATCAAGAAAACTCAACCATGTATGTAAAAAGGGGATAACATTTTCCATTAAAACGGAATCGGATTTCTGCATATTTTCTATGGTAAAGGAAAAAAGTGAAGTAAGAAAAAAATGATTACTTCCGATTTAAACAATTTATATGGTGCGAATTAAGCAATGATCTTGTGGTCTAATAGCACAAAGTGATTTGTATGGAGTCTGTAGTACTAAAAAAAAGTACACAAGCAGAGAATAAAACAAAGTTATTTATTATAGTAAAAATGTATCTGAAATAGTTGTGTGTCAATTCCGCTCCAATTTTTTTGGTCAGAAAACACACAAATGAAGGATAGCGAAGAAAGAAGGAAAACTATCATTAAAAAAAAAAAACAATTATTTTTTGAATAAACTAGTACATAACATCGTGGTGTGACTGAATATTGTGTGTGGCATTTAATCAAGATCGAATTTTTGGGAAAAAAAAATTACCGACTACCGGGAAGACATAAATGACGACTAGCTTGAGCACATCGTTGTTGTAGGACAGTTAAAAGATGAAATATTTGTTTGCCCTTCTCATAGTTAGTTCCGAACTCGGTTTGGGAGATGATATCGGCGGTGAGGCGTGCCATGTAGCCGCCGATCTCCAACTCCGTCTGCCCCGATTGCACTGCTTTTTCAAGAGATTGGAGCATTTTCTGAGTGCATTCCACCATGTACCCCGCATAACTCTACAATCCAAAAATCAAAAATCAAAACCAAATTGGATGGGAGATAATGCAATCATTATTCATTGGCTATTGCCACAAGCACCATAATCAAATCAAATAGCCATCAGGTCTTCTAATATGATCTCCATCCGCTTATGATGGATGTGATTTTTTTTGTAGTCACTCTGTTACAATGAGTATCTGTTATAAAAAGATTGAAAAAAATGTACCTTGAGTTTGTCTCCCATGAAAGCTGGGGCGACAATGTGACGCTGGTGATACCAGTCGTCGCCGTTTGCCATCAAAAGGCCGCGGCCGATGAAATGTTTTGAGCCCTGTTGCTGCAACCAAGATTTCCCCGAAACCGCGCTGTACTTTGAAAGAAGCTCTTTGATCAACTCGGTTTCCGTCAAGCACATCCTAGGCTCAATCCCATTCCAATATATGAATCTCTTCCCTATCAATTCCAACACAATTCACCCAAAAAACAAAAACAGAATCAAACGCTTAACACTACGCTAAAAATTATTATAACGTTTGGGCAGAAGCTGGTAAAAGCTAAGTCTAACACCCAATGACCGGGGATTATTGAAAAAAGCTAATAAAGGGTTTAAAGGGCCAAGTCGAGCACCCAAAGTCTAGAAAATGTTGACAGTATAAGAAAACAATAGTGCTAGACTTGTTGGACCGACTTCTGTTCAACAATTTCTTAGACACTTGGTGCTGAACTTGACTCTTCAGGGCCTCGGTCCAACAAAAAAGTTTGAACCAATGCTGGTTGGGTTGGGTTGAGTATGTAAAACAATTTTAATGTGTTGTCTCTGGTACCGTAAATTTTGGACCAGGCGACGTAATGGGGCAAGAGGCGTGGGACGACGTCGTGGTGGATGGAGTCCATGTGGTCGGAGGTTGACTTGGAGACCATGGCGGCCATGTCAAGGATGTTTCCGAGGAGGAACCGAGGATTGGGCCCGAAAACTCCCTGTTTCTCCATGGTTTTTCTGATGCGTCTCGGGGTTAGCCAGTAACATGAGATGGTTTGGTAGGCCAGTTTCAAGAACATGCACGCGCATGTGAGCAGTAGGGGGATCAGAACCACCGCGGCTGCCATGGCCGGAGGTGGTGAAGCCGGCGGCGATGGTTACAGAGTAGTTTTTGAGGATAACAGAGTACAGAATATCACTCACTGATCGATATGCGTTCTTGGAATCAGATTACCAAATGCCCCTATTTATATAATGCGAGTGCAACCGTATTGACTATCTGTACTTAGTTATAAACAATACTACATTGTAATGAAATATATATATAATACACGAGTGCACTGACTAATATGACTTGGAATAAAAAAGATTATAATATTAATAAACATTTGATAAAATTGTTAGTGCTTCATCACTGTTTTATTTATTTATTTATTTCATTAAAAATTTAATCCTAATACTTTTAAAAAGCATTATCATCATTGCCACATCAACATAATATAATATATCATACCAACTCAAATTTTATTTTATTACTATTTTAAGGAAAATACTTTCTTCTCATTTAAAATTTTTTCCTCTAATATTTTTCATCAAGTGTGGATTCTATTCATTGGGTGCCCATGAATTAGTTGATCTTATCATTAATTTAAAAAAAAAAAGTTATTAGTTACTAATTAAATAATCAATCGCTATATGTTCCATTTCTTTTAATTTAATTAAAAGAAACGGTTATCACTATAGTAAATCAATGGCGATATGTATGTTGTCAAATGAAGCCGTGGTAGAATTAAAATAATGAACTATTTTTTTTTAAGTACTACTAACTCTGTTACAATATAGTATCTGTTCATACTTATCTTTTATTTTTCTTTCATATTTTTTATTTTTTCAACACAACTCCCTTAGTCTGTCTTCAAAAGTGCTTTTCGTTTGCAGCTTAGTTTTGTATGATAACTTAGCTTGTTTTTGCCTATGTGATTGCTTGTGATCTCTACTTGAACTCCTTCATTTCTTGAAATTCGGGATTTTTCTCGACAAAACAAGCTAATGGCATCCTTAATAGTGTGAAGATTTTGAGGAGGTTTTACAGGTGTGATTGTGAAAGAGAAAATAGGAGAGGAAAAGAAAAAAAAAAAAAAAAAATATATATATATATATATATATATATATATATATATATATATATATATATATATATATATATATATATAATTACGCGCCTAGGCGAGCGCTGCGCGTGCAGTGCACGTGCCAGCCTGGGTGCGAGAGTTGCGCCTCACACACGTGAGGCACAACTCTCTCTCTCTCTCTGTCAGTGGGACCCACTATCTATGCAAAATCCCCATTTTTGCAGGACACCCCAACCATTTCTCTCTCTCCCCTTTCTTTCCTCCCCCTCACCCAAAATTTCTCAAAACCTGGTTCAAAAGCCCCTTTTGGAATGCTCTAAGTCATGCCTCAGAAACAACATTATCTTTAGTACTACTGACTCGGTCACAAAGAGTCAAGGCAGTGTGGATCAAACACATAACCTCCCTTTATAGAGAGCCACTTCGTGCCACTAGACCACATGGTCATTGACATATTTTAACATTAAAATGATACTTCAACATTACTTTAATGAAACTAGATAGTAGGCCTTTGAAACACCACACGCATTTTAAAACAAAATTTAAAAAGTGTTAATAGTTAAAAAAAAATTATAGATAACAATAAATTTAAAATTTAAAATTTAAAATTTTAATTATCAATATTAATTTCTCTATAAATATACAAATAAATTATTTATTAAAAATTAAGTTTATTCTAGTTTATATGAAACTTTTTCTTTAGACACAAATAAATTTTGTTACAGATCCCAGCTTAATAATATGATTTTTAATTAAATTTCACACAATGATATTAAGTTAGTCATTTAGTTGAGTGGGATGAAATGATATTATTTTCAGGGTTCACAATTTGTTGAATGTATTATTTATTATTTATTTTGTAAACCTAGATATTAATATGTTTTAATTAAATTAATTACTTTGAAATATTAAAAAAATAAATTTTAAGTTGACATGACATGCACACCATATTATATTGATGTTAGCAAGTTAATGGTTAGTTAATGATGTTAATGAATGTCTTTAATTAATTGTTTCTAATGATTAGGAATTAAATTAAACTTGGGAGAAGAAAGAATTAAATTAAACAAAATTAAAATATATAAACTACATTATTGAATAAAATCATATAATACATGAAACTTATTGCATGTGGTTCGTTGGCCATTCAAAGCATAATGAATAGCTTTGAAACATGCACTATCACATCATCTCACAAGTGACAAATGAATTAAAATATTACACTTATAAATTACAATAATTCGAATAATTAAAGTTATCATTCTTCCCAAAAGTTATCATATATTGGTTGATGGTAGCAGATGTGAGATCTAAATATGATCTAACTGTATAGAGAATAATCTACGAGAAACTTAATTCGTAGTAGCGGAAGCGAAAGTTATCATTCTTCCCAAAAGTTATCATTATAAACCACAAAATTGAGCAAGACCAACAGTGCACAATAATACATAGGTTCACTGGTTAACAACAATATATAGAGGACTGTGCGGACAAATAATGGGCACATAACAAATTAATATCAGGCACACAATTTAATACATAATGGCACACAAGAATACATGTAAACATCAGGTTTCAAACACAAGCTCTATTAATTAACAAATCCATGCACACAACATACAAACTGTGGCACACGACTATAGTCGGCCATGCACACGACATACATGCTAATGGCACACACTACATCTGTCCTCAGAGTCCTCTATAATATATTTGTCCTCATTTGAACTCAAATATATATATATATATATATATATATATATATATATATATATATATATATATATATATAAGTTTAGATTTTTGTTACTAAAATTAGTTTAGTTGTAGTGCTTAATATCTTGTAGTAATTTATAAGCTTTGGTACTGTATTGCACTTTGGTTAAAGAAATTCGGAAATGGAAGGCAATGAACGGATCTGAGGCTCCAAGAAGAGAACTTGACCTTTAGTTTTTCGCAAGGGTTTCATTATAACTTATAAATGATGAAAACCAAACTAGTTGACCTAATTCTACTCATTGGGAATTGAAGATAATTTAATTCTGCACAGAATTAATAGGCCCTCCTCAACTAAAATATTAATTTCTCAGTCTCGAAAGTATGTACTATCTTCTTTGGGCAATTTATATCGTGGTGTACATAGCAATGTGTGCCTAGCACAAAACACGCGCATTTCAATTGCTGACGTCATTTCGTTCGTCAAAATCTCATCATGTGTATTCAGTTAAAAGTTTATGTGTATTGTGTTATGAGTTTTTGTGTATTCAATTAAGAGTTTTTGTGTATTCAGTTAAGAGTTTCTGTGTATTATGTATCATGTTAGATTATGTGTATTTAGTTATAAGTTTCTGTGTATTCTGTTATGAGTTTATGTGTATTCGAAACATAACAGAATTTTTTTTTGACAATGCACCAAAACGACGTAGTTTTGGGAGGCGTGGGGCACACATTGCTATGTGCCTGGTGCACGGTATAACGATTGATTTCTTTGGCTCTTGTTGGACAGCGACTCAGAGAGCCAAGTCTAGTATTCTGCCATTGAAACGTGACGCTGACTACCATACAAATGTTAAGAAATAAAATTGTGTCTTCGATATTAGTTATAACTTTTGGTGTAGTGGTAACTGCTTGATCTTGATAATTGGTATTAGAGTAGTTGAGAGCATGTTGTGTAGTTAAGGCTAACAGTAGCGCTTATTGCTACATAAATATAAGAAAATAGAACTGCACATTTGCTACTAGCTATAGCTTTCAATATAGTAGTAAGCATTTGATTTTGACACCACTAACTAACCGACCTTAGGCTAGCTTCAATTTTTTAAAAAATAAAAAATAAAAATAAAATTAATGAGACGCCTAAACAAATTGATGAAGACACTTCATTGAACTTGCTCAAATAGATAGTAGCAGCAATTCTAGCTAATTAAGGGCAAGCAGTAGATTCTTCATCCATCCTTGGTGAGGCCATAAATATATGTACAAGTGTTGATTCTGTCATGGAAGGTGTGAGTGTAGAAGGCACTATATTGGAAGAACTAGAAGATCTAGAACTATATATATTGTCATGAGTACTACACATGCAATCTAAAACTTTTATTTAAGCATTATAAGTTTCAAAAAATCATCCAAATTAAATTAAATTTTGACCAACCATTTTAGGACAAAAATCTTTCTCTCAATGGTTAGAACGTTGGAGATCTTTACTGAAGATGACTTGGTGGATGACCCTTAGTTAGAGTGAAAGATTGAGTAGTGACGAGCATGCAAACTTGTGAAGAAAGTCATTCCAAAAATTGTTAAGGAGATAGCTAGTAACCTAGTTGGCTAGCTTTATTTGAAACTAGTATGGATGGTTATATTTTTGCTTGTATTTATATCGTACTAGTGAAATTCTCCTTAGTATTAAAAAGAATGAGAGTGGAGTATGAGTTTTTGAACTGCTACAAAAATATTATCTCAATCTCTCTTCTCTACTCTCCTTATTTACTTGCAAAACGATCCAAATCACACACATGTTTCCGTACACTTTATAAAGCAAATACAAAACAAGCTATACTACATATTTGACAAATTTAATTAAGACTTTCACTACAAAATACTTTGATTATTTTTACTTAAAAAAAACTTTGGAACAAGGTTCAAATTGGCTATTGAACTTAACCTGAAAATGCAATTAGACCACTAAACGAAAAAAAAAAAAGTGCAATTAGGCCACGGAACACTCCAAAAACGTGCAGTTAAACCACTAAACACTCCAAATGGACCAAATGTATGCGATTTCACCGGATAGCAGGTTACCATCAATTTTAGTAAGTTACCTGCTTACGTGGCAGCTAAGTTGGCATTTTTAAATAATTTTTAATAAATTTTAATAATAAATTTTAAAAAATTGAAAAAATTAAATTAAAAAAATTAAAAATTAAAAATAAAACAACGGGTGGCCAACGGCCACCGTCGTTTTTTTTTTTTATAAATTTATTATTAAAATTTATTAAAAATTATTTAAAAATTATTAAAAATGCCAACTCAGCTGTCAAGTAAGCATGTAACCTGCTAAAATTGATGGTAACCTGCTATCAGG